AAAGAAATAATGGTATATAACAAATGAAACCACTTCCAGTGAAGAAGCAAGGCAAAGCCTCGGATGAGACCCCCCCTTATGATGACGACCACGGCAAACGTTTAAAGGACTTCGATTTGAGGGCATGCTCCTGGAATGTCCGGACCCTTAATGGGGAAGGTGCCTCTGCCCGGCTGGTTGATGTCCTCGTAAGGACAAAAGCTGACATCACCGCCATCCAAGAAATGCGTTGTACGGGGCAAGGCAAACAATGTCTGGGGCCTTGCGACATCTACTACAGCTGCCATGTAAAGGAGCGCAAATTCGGAGTTGGATTTGTGGTGGGAGAGAGACTCCGTCGCCGAGTACTGTCGTTCACCCCGGTGGACGAGCGTCTAGCCACAATCCGCATCAAAGCGAGATTCTTCAACATCTCGCTCATCTGCGCCCATGCCCCGACGGAAGAGAAGGATGAGGCATCCAAGGATCTTTGCTATGAGCGCTTGGAGCGCACGTACGAGCGCTGCCCCCGTCATGATATCAAAATCGTGCTTGGCGACTTCAATGCCAGGGTGGGCAAAGAAGGGATCTTTGGAACCACCGTCGGAAAATTCAGCCTCCACGACGAAACGTCCGACAACGGATTGAGGCTGATCGACTTCGCCGGGGCCCGAAACATGGTAGTATGCAGTACTAGGTTCAAGCATAAAAAGATCCATCAAGCTACCTGGCTGTCTCCGGATCGAAAAACGAGAAACCAAATCGATCATGTTGTGATAGACGGAAGGCACGCTTCCAGTGTTTTAGACGTACGCACACTCCGAGGCCCAAACATCGACTCGGACCACTATCTTGTTGCAGCCAAGATACGCACCCGCCTCTGTGCAGCAAAAAATGTGCGCCCAAATATGCAAGGAAAGCTTAACGTCGAAAAGCTGCAATCACAACAGACAGCCAGCGCTTTCGCTACTCGACTCTCACACCTGCTCTCAGAGAGCACTCTTCAACAAACCGACATATGCGAGCAGTGGAACCACATTTCCCGCTCATTAAGTACCGCCGCCGAAGAAGTAGTCGGATTTCAGCGAGCCCGAAAGAACAACTGGTACGATGAGGAATGTCAGGAAGCTGCAGAGAAAAAAGATGCCGCCTACAGGGCCACGCTGCGATCGGGCGCAACGCGCGCTATGTGGGACCGCTATAGGGATCTGAAGAGGGAAGCGAGACGTATTTGCCGCAACAAGAAGAGAGAGGCAGAAATACGTGAGTGCGAAGAGCTTGAAATGCTGGCCGACAGGAGGAATGCCCGAAAATTTTACCAGAGAGTTAGGCGACTTACGGAAGGTTTAAAGACCGGGGCGCACTCCTGTAAGAACAATAATGGCGACCTAGTAACTGATGTCCAGAGCGTACTTAAATTATGGAGGGAACACTTTTCCGCCCTACTAAATGGTAGCAGCACGGAAAGTTGTGGAGAAGAAGAACCCGAGCCCGCAGTCGATGATGACGGAGTCGACGTTCCACCGCCTGACTATGACGAGGTACGTATAGCAATAACGCGGCTGAAAAACAACAAAGCCGCTGGAGCTGACAGCCTGCCAGCTGAGCTATTCAAGTACGGCGGCGAGGAGTTGATAAGGTGCATGCATCAACTCTTGTGCAGAATATGGTCAGATGAACGCATGCCCGACGACTGGAATTTAAGTGTGCTCTGCCCAATCCACAAGAAAGGTGACCCCGCCATTCGCGCCAACTACCGCGGGATCAGCCTTCTAAGCATAGGTTACAAGGTCTTATCGAGCGTATTGTGTGAAAGACTGAAGCCCACCGTCAATGAACTGATTGGGCCTTATCAGTGTGGCTTTAGACCTGGCAAATCCACCATAGACCAGGTATTCACAATACGCCAAATCTTGGAAAAGACCCGCGAGAAAAGGATCGACACTCACCACCTATTTGTCGACTTTAAAGCCGCTTTTGACAGCACTAAAAGGAGTTGCCTATACGCCGCTATGTCTGAATTTGGCATCCCCTCAAAACTCATACGGCTGTGTAAAATGACGTTGAGCAATACCACCAGCTCCGTCAGAATTGGAAAAGACCTCTCCGAGCCGTTCGCCACAAAACGGGGTTTCAGACAGGGCGACTCCCTTTCATGTGACTTCTTTAATCTGATGTTGGAGAAGATAATAAGAGCTGCAGAACTGAACCGCTCAGGAACAATTTACTACAAGAGCGTGCAATTGCTGGCTTATGCCGATGACATCGACATCATCGGTAACAAAAACCGCGAAGTCTGTTCTGCCTTTTCCAAGTTGGATAGGGAAGCAAAGCGCATGGGTCTGGTGGTAAACGAGGACAAGACGAAGTATCTCCTGTCATCAAACAAACAGTCAGCACATTCGCGCCTTGGCACCCACGTCACTGTTGACAGTTACAATTTCGAGAAAGTAGAGAATTTCGTTTACTTGGGAACCAGCATTAACACCGATAATAATGTCAGCATTGAAATCCAACGTAGAATCACTCTTGCCAACAAGTGCTACTTTGGACTGAGTAGGCAATTCAGGAGTAAAGTCCTCTCTCGACGTACGAAAACCACGCTCTATAAGTCACTCATCATGCCCGTGCTGGTATATGGCGCAGAAGCATGGACAATGACAACATCCGATGAGGCGGCTCTTGGAGTGTTTGAGAGAAAGATTTTGCGGAAGATTTACGGGCCTTTACGCGTTGGCGACGGCGAGTACCGCAGACGATGGAACGATGAGCTGTATGAGCTTTACAACGATATGGACATAGTGCAGCGAATTAAAATACAGCGGCTCCGCTGGCTTGGTCATGTCGTTCGAATGGACACCGACGCTCCAGCTCTGAAAGTATTCAACTCGGAACCCGCTGGTGGTAGCAGAGGAAGAGGGAGGCCCCCACTGCGATGGAAAGATCAGGTGGAGAAGGACTTGGCTTCACTTGGCGTTTCCAATTGGCGTCAGTTGGCACAGAGGAGAAACGACTGGCGTGCTTTGCTGAACTCGGCCAAAATCGCTTAGGCGGTTACAGCGCCAAAAAAGAAGAAGAAGAGAACAAATGACTAAGTGACCATCAAGTCAATGTGCAGGAATGGTATTTTCAGAGATATCATTCGAGAGTTCTAGCTTTAATTTAAGCCTGGAAGGTTCTATCACCTTTTGTTACTTTGCTAGAGCTTCTAAAATATTAAAAAAAAGCGATTTTTTGACGTTTTTTCCCAAAATCTAGAGTTGATGGAAACTTTATGCCGACTTTACATAAAACCCTCCAAAAGAGAAATCTTACGGCCGGCCTTGCGTGCAGGGAAGTCAACTCGCGGGAAATCCCTCGATTTGCAGGGAATTTCAGTTTAGGTTGCATCGGGGAATGCACAGTTTTTTGTGGGAAATTGGGTATGTTACGTTTTAACTTAAAGTGACCAAATTAGACGAATATTATTTCTCGCTATTTTGAGCGATATTTTTTCAATTTAAATCGTAATATCCCCACAACAAGAGCTTTCCCAGGTATAGCCTTTATACGAAATGAAAGCTAAGGTTTTGGGTTAGACTTGAGGAAACTTAGAATAAAATCGACTGACCAGTTTTTGAGAAAATTTTCGAAGCCTATATTTTCAGCAGCCCGATTTTTAGATTTTATCCGATATCGTTGTGACATATTTATATTTCATAAACGCAAAAGACAGTGTTAGATAGCTTCTTCTAATGCCCTTCCACTGATAAGGAATAAGTAGTGCGGCCTCAGTGATAGTTAAAAAAACTGCCTTTTTTCGAATTTCAGGCACCAGCCACGCCCACAAAGGCATACGAATCGAAGCATCCTGGAACAAAACCTTCCTAGTTTTTTTGGTGCTTTAATTCCTGAAAGTTTGAAAATAAATGAAGGTACGTACAGACGCACATCGCAAAGCATCTTGTAGTGGAGACACGAACCAAAATCAATTTAGCTCCATATCTTCCCAACTAATAGCCGGAACTCAATATATAAGGTATCGTTGGAAAGGTATTGACCTATATAATAACACTAAATATGTTGGGTGTACCCTCATACCCCGTTAAACCGGCAAAAGAAAAAAAAAACGTTTTTTTGTTTCGCAACACTTTAGCCTAATTTTTAAGAATTCGGATAATCGTTGAATACATTTTCTGGACACACTCTGCAAAACCTTTCTTCGATACCTCAAACATGTCGATTGGACGTCTGGATAAAAACGTCCAAATCTCGTGTATATATAAGCGAGTCATTTCAGCATGCTACTCTGGCTGCTTTCGTCACTCGCGCGCACTGCCGTGCGTATGATATGTATGTTAGAACGCCTCTAATAGCCCAGTTATGCATACTTGCACTGCTATACCATTTTTACCTAAAAATCAAAACCCAACAGAATTCTACATGTTAAGAGCTATGCGTTAGGTATATTCTTATGTGACAACTCTCATGCAAAGCTAAGTATGCATAATTGGGCTATAAACCATACCATGCTAAGTCAACTTAGGCCCAATTACTCCATGTCGGGTTAACACTAATCTCCGGTTCAACATAGTTGTCGACGTTATGACCCCCTGTTGTTGTAGAGTCGAAGACGTCGATAACGATGTTTAACCGCAGAATAGTGTTAACCAGACATTGAGTAACCGGCTCTTGGACTTAGTCAGACTTAGCACTAATCGGAGGTAGAAGCTCCGGTTAAATACAACGACTGCTTTATCGATCACATGTTACATGCATGATGTCGAAAACGTCGATAATGATGTTTAACCGGCAAGTAGTGATAACCGGCCTTTAGCATACTGGTATGGTTCGGAGGCGTCGATGTGTTGCTTAGCTTTCACAGACTTCGGTAGACTTTTCCATTGAACTTCAGATATGGGGAGATTTATTGCTCAACTAAGAACTGCACTATTTTTAATACATTTTCATTAGAATTAAATCATATTACTTTAGTTTTATTCACAAATCGCTTCATTTTTCTTGAACTTTTTCTTTTACAGTACAAGTTATACCCAGCAAGCCTGAAAATCGAGAAGATATTTTTTAAAACAAACGCTAATTATTTTTAATTTTTTAAACACATCCGAAAACTTTGTAGACCAAAAATTGTTGAATGTTTTAGATATTACATGATGAACAGGTAATTTCTCTTCTTTGAGGATTTTTAAGTTGCTTTGTAGAAACGTTTATAAATACAACATTTTTTGTCTATATTTTATTTGTAGTAGTTGCTTATTTTCAATATATTCATATTAAGTTTTCCAACTTTTATTCGTTAAATCAACAATTAATCGATTTTTATTTTATAACTTGATAATGATAATTGTATTATGTAGTGAGTTCTAACTAATTATTTTTAACAGAAATTATTATTTTTTATTTCAAAAATGTTATTGACCTTTATGCCCCTTTTGAAAAAAATGGAAAACGCCACAAACAGCCGTATTCTAGCAAAGTCACAAACTTTAGTTCATCACTGCTGTGATTTCTATTGCGCCTGAAAGCTTTCCGCTGCAAAAAATATGCCGCTACAATACAAATGTTTAGATTTTTGTGTATTTTTCTAGTACTTAAAATCGAATTTTTTGTGAATCATTTCTCGGCGCACTAGAAATCACAACAGTGATGAGCTAAGTTTTGTGACTCTCTTAGAATAGAGGGAAAACTCTAATCGGGAGAGGTTATAGCTGCATCACATCTCAGGGTTGCTTAATTTAAAAACCTTTTCGGTTTTAAATCCACTTTTAATTAAGATATCTATTTGATTTTTGCTTTGATTCATCGACCAATTAATAAAAAAAATCTATTTGTGATTTGATTCGTTGGACAAAAAAAAAAACAATTTATTTGTGATTTAATTCCTCCAACTATTAAAGAATAATATTTATTTGCCAAGAGTCAAATCATGGGGTGGGGTTTAGTAGCGCCCCCAACTATTTCGGGCTATTCCGTCCAAAGGGGTGGCCCGATCCAAAAAAAATTCCACACACTTGTAATCAAGGATCTACACATTATTTTTTTGTAAAATTCGGAAATTAGCGTACATTTATCACTCCTATTCTCCTTTAGGCAGCCACTTCACCAATATATTTTTGTATTCTCCTTCACTTTACACTACCCGATTAGTTATAACTTTCTTTACGACTTTAATATTAACCAATTAATCACAATACATTAAATAAAAACACCTTCAAAAGTGTCTGACTTTGGTTGCATATGCAAATTAAATGGCGGAGTTCAGCTGTCCAATTCCAAAATATGCAAAGGAATGAGAGACAAAAGAAGATAGGATATAACCCAGTAAGCATTAAAAACATACAAAGGTGTTCTCTGCCAAAGGTGTTCAGCTCCTTTTCTTCGCGAAACAGAAAGGAGAATTCTACTGCCTGAGGGTTATAATTCCTAAGTGCGGCCGAAGGCCGCCTACGCAGAAAGGTGTTCTCTGCAAAAGGTGTTCAGCCCCCCTTCTTTGGCAACACAGAAAGGAGAATTCTACTGCCTGAGGGTTATAATCAATAAGTGCGGCCGAAGGCCGCCTACACAGAAAGGTGTTCTCTGCAAAAGGTGTTCAGCCCCCCTTCTTTGGCAACACAGAAAGATAATTCTACTTTGTGAGGTTTACAATCCCTAAGTGCGGCCGAACGCCGCCTACGCAGATTAGAATTCTACGCAAAAATAATAATAATAATAATAATAGATCGGGGCTTACACATATGTTAGTGTTTAGCGGAACTTCTCCTCCTATTTGTGGCGTGCGCCTTGATGTTGTCACACAAAGCGGAGGGACCTACAGTTTTACGCCGACTCCGAACGGCGATTGTATTTTTATGAGAAGCTGTTTTTCATGGCAGAAATACACTCGGAGGTTTGCCATTGCCTGCCGAGGGACGACCGCTATTAAGAAAAAACCTTTTTCTATATTTTTTGCGATGTTGCTTTGACCAGGGCTTGAACCCAGGTGTTGATGAGTGAAAGCGCGCACTGCTTACCACTACACCACAGCGGCCGCCTACACCACAGCGGCAAAATACATTTGTTAAAAACAACATTTTTTTTATAAAAACTTGTTTTTTTTTTCTATTTTTAATTAGCTTTTTCTTATTTAACTTATTCTTTATTCAAAATCGCCCGATATCTAATTTGGCATAATTTCTTGTATTAAAAAATCCCACGGTTTCTGTTAGTTGGGTCATATTCCACTTCAAACTGTTTTGTTATAAAAGGGAAATAGCAGGGCGAACGGTGAACGCAAAGCGAATTTATAAAAGGTGTTAGCTGCAGCCCGAAAAGAAACAAACTCCATTAACAAATTATACGTACGAGGACAATCATAACAAAAATAATTTACAACAAACACATAATTTTGACAATCAGCGCCTTGAAATCAGCTGCTCTGGTAACACCACCTTGTATGAATTCGCCTTAGGTGAAAGCCGGCATACAGAGATCCGAAACGGTAATCTGGATGGAGGGACATTTGTGATTTTGGTGAAGTGTCCAACTAAAAAATTTTTTTCTTTCGATTCTGTAGCACATTAGCTGACACGAAAGAATTCACTTTTCTTTTGTTTTAAAAAAAAAAACATTATATGGACTGCTGCTGACTTTAAAATTCGTATAAGTTATTGAAAAGCTTCGAAGCCAAAATAACGTAAGCGAAATTTTTTCAAAATTTTCTTTTTGATGCAGAAATGTTCCTAGCGCATCTACATGCATTTCTGTATCAAAAAGAAAATTAAAAAAAAAAATGTCGCTTACGTTATTTTGGCGGTTAGGGTTCGATATTTTGCAATGGAAGCATCAAGTTCAAATAAAGGCGTCATATTTCTCTAAGAGATGTCGATTGTTTCAATATTTTCGAATTAATATTAATTTTACTTTTAACTTTTTAATTAAAGAAATTTTGATTAGAAAATCATCTTTGTAAAATGCTTCTATTTTTTGCCTATAAGTGCCGATGAAAGTAATTGAGTTTTTAGACTGCTGCGTTATCATACTTTATTGTTTTATAAACTTTAAGTCCCCCTACGTCCGCCCCCATATGACGATTCGAGTTTTTTGTTGACATTTTCTATTTCGTGGAAGGCATTATTTCATTTACATTTATATCTATTTCATTAATAAAAATTTTTGAATTGATACTCGTAATTTTAACTGTGAATTTTTGAAATGAAAAAAGCCGCACTAGCTAACCAAAAACTTGTAAATATTGAATTTCATAAAAATATAAAAATATCTTCAAAAATATATTGGATCCACCATTTTTAATTTTTAACATTTTATATAAATTTTGAAATAGGTGACTTAAAATATACCTAAATATACTAAAAAATAAACGTAGACATTTTTTCAATACGATTGGAATACTTTATTCTATGTTTCAAGTCTTAGACACAGTCCAAACGAACCGGCGAAATGACTTTACTTTGTTCAATATGCCTTGGTTTTACCTTGAGGCTCGGTTTTGCAAGACTTAGGGCTGGTTTCTCCATCTCAACTTAACTTAGTTAAGCCAATTTTCTTGACTTAGTCATGAATAAGCTGTGTAAAACGTAGGCTAACTGTTGACTTAAGTCCAAAAAGGGGCTAAACTAAGTTAAGTTGAGTTGGAGAAACCAGCCCTTAGACTTGAAGATGTTATATCTCAGCCAGCAAAAAATCAGAAAATGGATCTTAAAAAGGGGGAAAAGTGGATGGATTACGGATTTTTGCCCTTTTACCGACTCCATTTTCGGATACTTTCACGGTCCGTTTTCCCAGTTAAGTGTGCGGCAGAAACGTATGTACTAGGGGTGATCATTTTTTAAATTTGTACGATCCCGGGATTTTTGGGATCTCGTGATCACAATCCTAGGATTTAGATATTAATTATTTTTCATCAACTTAACACGAAAAAATTGCTTAAATATTGTAAGGTTAGGTTAATCTGGGCGAGGTTGAGCCGCATATAGACCGGTAGGTCTTTAGCGTTGCCAGTTGGAGCTCGTTTTTACGCGTTAAAGTAAACACCACAAAGGATGTCAACGCTTTTTTGCGAATTTTAGTAAAAATTTAAGCTCTACTTTTGAGATGTCCTCTAACTTCTCGAATTGGTAGGCTCCCAACCATTTTAGTCGTATTTTTGAGAGTTCAGGACATCGGCAGAGAAGATGTTTCAAGGTTTCCCTGGGTATCTGCTCATGACATTTCCTGCAGCTGTCCACGCTAATGATACGCATCTTTTGTACATAAGCATCCACCAGGATATGTCCCGAAAGCAATCCGGTAATAACTGCAATCTGTCTTTGGTAGCCATAACAAGAAGCGAGCATAGTTGCTTTTTCTATTTAGTTGTGTTTTCTCACATAATTTTTTGCATTTTTGCAGGTGGTTAGCTCTTTCCATCTAGACCTGAAATGCGTAATCATATCGCACACCTAGATCTAAAATGCGATCAATTCAAAAAATATTTTGGACGATTGTTTTGCAATTCATAGGACTCACATCCAATTAATGGAAATATTTTTTTCTTCATGATTATATACATTAACTAAAAAACGACTCTTATACCCGTTTTGGTATTAACTGCGTTGAATCCACGTACGATCCACAAGCAGTTAAATTTCCCCTCCCTGAATTTTAAGTTAGCTCACTTTAGGTCTAGGTGTGCGATATTATCGTCTCCTCCGTTGTACAAGTGTTGAAGTGGTCTACGAATGTAGTTTGTCTGTTCGAGATTCAGACTAGTGGTGTTCTTGGCAGTCTCATCTGCTATTTCATGACCCTCTATTCCCTTGTGGCCAGGCAGTCAATAGATGTGCAGCCTTCTGTCGGCGGCTTGCTGCGAAGGACGTTGATGAATAAAATACTATATAAGGTCAATTGCCTTAATTGCCGCCTGACTATCTACGTATAGGTTTGCTTCTAAAGGCGGGTTCACCGTTCGTGTTCGGACAACTTTTTATTTGCTCTCAAAACATTTTTGCTGGAGAGGGTGCTGAAGTACGGTTCACCGTTCAGTTCGGCATATTTTATTTTGTTCTGAAGCAAACAGCTGATGGTATTGTTGCCTACATACGATTTTGAAGGCAAATAACACATGCAATTCGCTGCAAACGCATGTAAAGGAGAACGCGGCAACCCGAATCATCCAAGTCGTTC